CGTACCCGCCAGCCCCGCTCGCCACAGCCAGCGCCCGCCCCCGTGTCCCCGTCCACGCAGACACGCCGCGGCCACATCACCCACACCTAGTCACCCCGAGGCACCGCAGCGCCCTCACCGCCGGGTGCTGGGTTCACCCCTCGCCAGGCCGCGCCCGCGCTGGTGCCAGGCCCCGCACGCCACGTTCCCACTCGGCAGCAAAGTGACCCCCGAGCGCCCGCCCCTCCTCACGGCCTGCGCACCCACCCGCTTCCCGTGAGGCCTGCGCGAAGCCGGGGGGGCTAAGGGGTGCCGAGGACCCTCGTACCAAATCGTAGCAGGTATCACAGGCACGGGGAAGGCTTGTGAAAACTTGCCTCACAGAGGCTGAGCGTATCGCGCGTGTTTTCTTCAAGAACAAATGGGTGTGAACTGTCCATTAATACACTTAAACTAAAAATCAGATGATTTCTAAACGTAAGAGAATTTATGATTTGAAAAATACTTCTAATAGAGATAGATAGTGGGGCAAAAATAACTATTACCTTTAGGATGGAGCTCTTCACATTTGCAAAAGGAGCAAAGTAGTGTGGTTGTGAAGGGTAATATGGGGCAAGACGTGATAGCCCAGGAGACACCTTCAGTCCCCTGTTGTGTGCTCTAGACTAACTCTGGGTGCTGGAAGCAGAGTTACTGTAAGCCCTAATGTGAGTAACAGGAGTTTAAAGAGAAACAGAAAGTGTCAGTCTTTTCCGGTGGCCTGAAGCCACCGGAAAAGCCTGGAGGAAAATCTGTACAAGATGAGCTCTGACATGAGCTGGGAAAGTCTTCATTCAGGAACAAAGACCTGTTATATCTCTTGGCCCTGATAGCCAAGAACCTGTCTCAGAGGTGTGTAGGAGCTGGTAAGCCATGTATTTAAGAACTACATTGTTTCAAGATAGATTTATTTTGTACTACTTTTGTCTCTACTAAATGCACCACAGCTTGTGAAATTTGGCCAGTCACTATTAACTCTATGATTGTTCCGGAGAAAAACACTGTAGTGGATGAACTACATTCAACCCAGTTGGGATAGTCCCAATCATTTGTAACTTAAGGCTTCCTCTAAAATCAGAGAAATGGAGGTTCCCACTACTCCTCTGCGGGAGAGCTGAGCACGCACACGACCAATGTGATCAAGCAATGCCCGTTTATTACAACTAAGAAAGCCCCGTTATAATGTTCTCCCGCACACGTGAGTAACATGCAGTACAAGTCCTCAAGATTGGACAGTTAACTTAGCCCGCGCTTTAAACCTTCTTACGATTGGATAAAAAGTGCCACATCAGCCTTGCCAGGCTTCCTGCCTTGTGTAACTGCCTCTTCTTGTCCCAACTCCTTCCGGGGGTTGTTTGTCTCGTCGAGTTTCTCCCCCCTCATTCAGGGTCACATCCTTATCGCATTCTTGCTTGGCTGAGGCGCTTACCAGTCTTGTTCTCATGCAGGATTGCTCACATGGCCATTCCATGTCCATGGAGAGGAAAGAAGTTTGATCCAGAACTGAAAGACAAGCCCTTGCCACTCGTTTACCCACTGCTCTTCTTATTCAGCTCCCTCCGGTGCGTATCCAGTGTCACTGTGTGAAACACACCTCCCTCACACATCCTCAGCCTGGCATTCCTTGCACACATGCACACACCCTCTTGCACATGAGCCACATCTCCACATCTCCATATCCTCACTGGCATTATGCCTGCACCCCTTTCTTCCACCATACCTTTTTCCAACGTGCACATCTAAGATCTGCATTAATGTGTATGGTCTATGCTCTCTGCTCACTGCCTTAGAGGGGAATAACAACCACCACAGGATGAAGCAGCAAAGCAACCTTCAGGCCTTTCTGTCTTTCCTCCGACTATTCTCTGAAAAGCAGCAGTTGGGTGAGGGGCTGCAAAACAGGGTGGGAGGCATGGGTACCACTCATCATGGCCTGGGCTGCTGGAGTACATCTCTGATCCCACTCAGAAACAACTAAGGGTGTTGTATAAACCAGTAGCACTGGGCTACCTGGCTGGGCTCCACTGCATTGTTTAGCCGAAACTGAAGGTGGGACAAGGATACCACTTAATCCCAAAAGCATGGGTGAGATTGTGAAGTTGTAGAAGCCGACCTGAGACTACCATTCAGAAGTTGGGCTGATGAGCAGAAGATGATGAGAATTTTTTTTTTTCAGAAAAAAACAACATAAGAATGGTCTTTTGCAGAGAAAACATGATGTATGAATATAGGTATGAAGATATCTTAGGATGTCAGCCTTATTTATGGCAGAAATAATCAGTTTGTGGGTTGACTAAACTTCAAAGACAAAGAATTTACTAACTCATGTGGTTGTTGCAGAAATTAGGGACTACTTAGTTATTGCACTAGAATAATTGACTATGTCTTCAGGTTTTACTTGTCAGAAGAGGTAACACAAAGCTACTGAAAGATAAATTGCCTTAAATAAATTTAAAATCCTTTGTGTATTATTTTCATCTGCTGTTTTTTGCCATCTGACCATTTGCCTTCCTTGTGTGCAAAGCTGCCTCTTCCTGTCTCTCCTGCCCCTGTCCCCTGCTCATCCACTTTCATCCAGAACAGGGGGCTGAAATGATCAGAATGATTCATACATGTTTTGCTTATTATTTTCAAAAATTACTCACATTATTCCTTGCTCTTAGAATTAGCAAATAGTGAAAATGTGTCTTGTGTGTTAGTAAGATAATTATTCAAAGTATAAGTTTTTTCCTAAACTGTAGGGAGTAAAAGATGGGTCCAGGGAGTGGAGAAGGGCAGAGATCTCAGCAAATATTTAACTCTTTCCCTACTGTCTCAGCCCCTTTCCTGTTTGTGTTCCTGTACAATTTTGAAATAGTTCTGCTTCAGCTAAAAGAAGTGAAAAGCAGAGGTAGTTCTTGCTCTTGCTGGCAATTAATTTTACAGTTTTTAATGTGAGAGACAGAAGAGAAGCATTGCGGAGAAGAGGGAAATAACTGTACTGTAATTATACATACCTTGGCATTCAGGTTCATACTGGCTGCCAGCCAACTAAAGTATATGGATTAAAACACCCATGATCAGAATGCAGGGAGTTTCAGAAATCAGGGGGAACAAATCTATATTGTTACAGACCAGTAGGTGTGCATTATTCCTTTGCTCTGATTAACTGATACAATTTGATATTAATATAAAAATAGAAAAAAAAGTATATCCAATAGATAATGTGATCATGAAAAACCCTTCCTTTATTTAGAATGAAAATAAAGGATATGATATCTTCAAGAGTGTCCTCTGTCAAGAATAAATTGCTCATTAGTTATAGTTAATTTCCCCATAGTGTATATGCAGTATGACATTTATGGAGGTTAGGTTTCTTGCTCAGGTAGGATTGTCTGCTGTGCAGTAGAGGGTATCATATTAAGGGGATAGGTTTTGTGTTTTACATCAATGTTTGTACGCATTACAACCTTGATAACTCAATTTTCTCTGGATTCACATTTTTAAGAAGCAGATATCATACATATTTGAAAATCCTCCAAATGGACTTTCATACATGGCTTTAATTTGTTAATTAGAGAAGTGTTCCTTCAGATGCTAATTCCTCAAACCCTGTATTACAAGGCCCTTTTTTGCCAAGGCAGTTGCCTAATGAGATAAGCTGTATGAGCAAAGACTGTTCATGTAACTAAAGGTTTGATGGTTCAGGCCCTTGGCTATTAATGACCCTTCTTGAAAAAAAAATTTATTGTCCCACCACAATTTAAATGTAGCAGTTGATTGCATATAGAATAATGCATGATCCCTTTTGCACCAAGATTAATGTCATCATTTGCCAGACAGACCAAGTACTCGATGAATGCCAATGACCCTCATATTAATTTGCAGTGTCCCCATGGGATTAAGGCCATTTGTATGGAAGTCTTTTAGGACTCTGCATGCTCCCACTACTATAGGTGAAGCCCAGTGATTTAAACATGGTCTGAAACCCTAGCACTGTAAATGGAATGAATTTTAAAACTGAAATAAAATAATTTGCATTTCATATGCACTGGTAGGTCAGCTAAGATCCTGCACACATAAACGTTTGTCTTGCAAAGATATTGCAAAGTGTCCTTGAGAGATTTTGACTGGAAATAGCTTGACAATGCTGCTTGCCAGGCTACTCAGCTCAGAAGCAGTATTCTTTTTCTTTCTTTCTTTCTTTCCCCCACACCTTCTACAAGAGGGTAGTCTCAGTGATGTGGGCTCACAATTACTTCATTCTCAGGAGATATGATTCCTTATGAAGTTTAAGGACAATTTTACATATTCAGTTTCTATTCTTACTTTAGAAAAATATACTTTTCTTGTTCTGGTAAAGAGAAACCTACCACATGGGATGGTGAGAAGAAGAAAAAAAAAGGATGCTTGTGATGCCGACTGAGGAACATTACTAAGCTTCTGCTGAATTCAAGAGGGTGTTAAATGGCACCAGGAGTAGAATATGGGTCCAGACTATGAAGAAATAAATAGACAACATTGTGCATGCCTTACCAAATACACAGATCTTTTTTTTCAATTATAACAAAAGAATTCTGAATCTGCAACATACATACATCTACTAACAAGCAGCAGATCTGGGTAAAATTAATACAAAGGGAGGAAAGAAGGGCAGGATTTCATCTGTAACTGTACATTAAAAATGCTATTTATTTTTTCATTAGAAATACATTTTGGAAAGGCAGAATCAGAGTAATGACCTTTCAGATTTAATCTTTTTGCTCTTCTTAATAGTTTACAGAGTTTTCAGAGAATTCAGAGGAGCAGACTTTAATTATACTTTTTAAATAGAGAATATGGTTGACGAAACATAAATTGACTGTACCAGTGGATACCACTGAGAGAGAAAAAAGAAACTTGTATTGCTTAGTTAGACTGGAGACAAGTTTAAGCATAATGATCCATAATTTAAATCTGACTTCATGTTAACAGCCCTTCACCGGCTTCCCCTAACACAGTTTGAAAGCATTTCAGAGCTAATTCAACATATCATTTACTCCAGGTTTTAATATGGGATAAAGCACTTATTCGGTAAAATTCT